TATAATTCCTAGACAAAATAAGGCCCAAAGTTAAGTATCTATTTCAGAACAGAGTGGTGTGTTGTAGTTGTTAAATCTATCGGCAATTGACCGTGACGATGAAACATGCTCTATGCGCTAATCTATAATGGAATGAACAAAAGTAAATGATATGAAATTGAAAGATGGAAGGAGATCAAGGGGGAGATTGTTAGATTAAACTCTAATCCCAAACTAGGCCCAACGGCCCAGTTAGGCCTTTGATCCGCGCCCTGATCGGGGGTGCCCAGCCCACTATGGCTGGAGGGCCCCTATCAGACTGTGCTATATATAGAGGTGGGGGCCGGTGGCTCTGAGTACGAGGTTTATCATGAGCCAAGCTCCCCACCGAAACCTAAACCCTAATCCCGATCAGAGAGGGTCATAGCCAGTGACGGGCAGCCACCAGCCACGCCGCCTCGCTCCACCGACGTCGATGACTTCATTGACCTCTTCCCCGAATGTCGCTGCCCGTGCGCAGACTTCACCGACGAACGAGATGGCGGCTTCCGGACCATCTCCCTCTGCGGTGTTAGGTTCGACACGTTCTTCTTCTATTCCTCTCTATCTCTCTACTCTCGACATAGCATTCACAGTAAAGAGAACCCGCTAGACCTAACCCTAGATGATCTTTTCGTTCTCAACAGCTTCGTCTCCCTAAGGAAGGAGCCGGCGACCAAGGCGGAAGCATCCATTAACGACGACGAGGATGCAACCAAACTGATGGGTCTGATCATATTACTACCATACCTAGTATAGAACTGTAGTTAGAACTACCACTAGGAAGGATTGTAATAAAATTTAAGAGCCGGCTACTAGTTACATACTCATGTATGCATGACCGGAAATTCATAGACAAATGTCCCCACAAATTTATTCAAATAGAATCATGTAAAAATGGTTCAGCAAACGCTTAGTCTAACACTTTAACTACTATATATATGATAACGGTAATGCTCAGTGATGAGCGACCGTCCAATCAGACACCACCTTCCTAGGCTTGCGCGGCCCACCAAACCTGCCTCCTTTTTACCCTCCCACATCTCTCTCAAAAATATCTACCCACTTGCTCGCCAATCGCACGCTTCACAGCGCTGTGCGGCCGTCCATCCGCCCCACTCCGCATTTGCCACCACAGCCATCTCCCCGCACGTGCCCCCACCATGTGTTCTTCGCTTCTCGCTCCTGCCCATCGCGTGCGCCCACCCACATGTCTTGCTCCTTGCTCCCGCGGTCCCACCCACAAGATCGCTCCCGCGTCGTCGGGCACGCCGCCCGCCTCTACTGGTGCTCATGGTGCCATCACGCGCCCTAGGTCAGTCCCCAGCCGAGCCCACCCATGAGCGCGGCCCATGCTGATGGTGCTCGCACCCCGAGGCTAGAATCAACCGGCCCCGACCTCCCCTCCCATATGTTGCAAATGTATATTTCAAGTGTTTCAAATGCTTCAGAGGTATGTTGCAGGTGTTTCATATGGATGTTGCAAAAGTAGATTGGGATGTTGCATATGGTGCGTTTAATAGGCATGTTGCAAGTATTTCAGACGCATGTTGCAAGTGTTTTTTATCTAGATGTTGTATATGTTTCACACCTATATTGCAAGAGTATGTTCAAAATGTTTCAACTTTTTCAGTCTTATGTTGCAATAAGTGTTTTCATGTTGCAATTTATAAGTGTTTTATTTTAATGTTGCATATGTTGCAACGTCTCTCAGATCATGCATGCCCCTTGCTCTTATATGATCATGGCCTGCAGGGTTCACGGGTACAACTATGAGGACCTACCATATATGTCACCCTTGTATCTCCGTTCGAACACCGTTAGTATTTGGGAGATGAGCTTCGAGCCATACCTTGACCCGACATAGTGGCCACCTTATAATGGTTATGACTACGTGCCGCATCCGGATCTAATGAAGGTAGGGAAGGGTAGGAGGAACAAGAAGCGACTCAAGGGGGACATGGACGCTATGAAGGGTACGGTGAAGACATGTACGGAGGGGGAGACTTCAACGAGACCCGTGGCAGGAATCTTTGCTCCATTTACAAAGACCCTGGTCACAAGGCTAACAGGCATAGAAGACGAGGGCAGTAGGTCCATACATAGAAGTTGCTTATTTTCCTAGTGAAGTTGTTTAATATGTTTATTAATGTTACTTTGAATATATGCATGTGCTTTCATATTGTGTTCGTATTGCATAACAAGTAGTTCAAATTTTACAATGCTACATAATGTTAATTTGAATATTGTTAATTTGAATACTCTAACCCTTTGTTTATCAATTTATAACAGGATGGCCCCTCCCACGCAGCACCAGTTGTACCCCCTTCTTGAGGTGGAGTACAACGACCCACACCGAGCACACTTCTTGACTGACACCGACGTAGAGGTGCCCTTGCCTCCTTTGAGGCCCCGCACGCACACCAGGGTGCACTAGTGGGACGAGCGTTACGCGCCGTACATATGGCGTGCCGGCTTCCTCGAGATTGTGTCAGAACTTATATCGAACGAATATTGTCGTATGAAACTTGCAGACTCATGAATCAATGAAAATGTTATGTGGCAACTTGTCAACTTGTGCACGGACTCCATTTATTTACTTCATATTCGTTTCAATGCGTCGCAACAGCACTTGTAGTTGTTTACAGCACCGACAGCAACTCCCGTTCAATTGCAATTGAGGCTGGTCGGCTTCTGTCTGCGTCCAAGTTCTGCCACGCCGTGGGCCTTGGCGTGTCAGTGTCGCGCCGTGTGCTATGGCGTGGCAAAACCTGGGCTTAGGGTTCCGTGCCAAACGTGACTCATAAAAAAAGAACGCTGGAGTAAAGTGATAACATTATTGTTATTTTACATTGATCTTATGCTAACAACATAGCTGTTGATACGTCCATGCTAGGACTGCGCTGCCCCAGCTGTATGCCGCTATGTTATCCCACGGTTGGCGTAGTATGTCAAGAAAGATCTAGCTGATGGTGTTGCCCGAGACGTCTAGGAATAGGAAAGCACCAAGGAAGTGCTAGAGCCACACTCTAGCGAACCTGTCGATCTGAGCCTCATCAGCCTGTGGGTCCAAGTAATCAAAGCGCTCTGTGATCTACGACAATGAAACACCAGAACTTTTCCTGAAATTCACCAAAGAAAATGAGATCCGATGGTTGTAGGAAAGCAATGCAAGTATTAAATAGGCTTGAATTGCTCACTTATTTTTCTTAGAAACCTCGTCGTTCGGTGGAAGAAAGCCAGTGAACTGAGACACCAGCTCCCTCCAGTGATCGTTGTCAACTATACCTGTCACTGAAAGTCCCCCCAACCGAAGGCCAAAGATAGCCTTCACATCCTGCATGGTCAAGGTCATCTCGCCGCAAGGTAGGTGGAACGTGTGGGTCCTAGGGCTCCACCTGTTATAAGAATAGAATGACTGCTAGTTACCTCAAATTTGTTATAAGAATGTTTACGTACAATAAAAGCACTCGCACCTGTCTACAGCTACAGTAAGTAGTGCTGGGTCAAGGGGTGGAAGACCGTAGTTGATAACACGGACAAGCTCGAGGAAGCCGGCACGCCGTATGTACGGGGCGTAATGCTCGTCCCACTGGTGCGCCCTGGTGTGCGTGCGGGGCCTCAAAGGAGGCAAGGGCACCTCTGCGTCGGTGTCAGTCAAGAAATGTGCTCGGTGCGGGTCGTCGTACTCTACCTCAAGAAGAGGTACAACTGGTGCTACGTGGGAGGGGTCATCCTATTACAAATTGATAAACAAAAGGTTAGATTATTCAAATTAACAATATTCAAATTAACATTATGTAGCATTGTAAAATTTGAACTCTAGTTATGCAATACGAACACAATATGAAAGCAGCGGCGCGGTAGTGAGGGCGGTGGCGGGTGCGGCGGGCAGCCGCCCTACGTGGCCGGAGGACGCGGCGGGCGGCCGAAAAGGGTGGCACGCCGGCGTGCAGGCCCGGTGGGCGCAGCGGGCGGCCGGCGGCCGTGGTGCGCTGGCGTCCGTGAAAGCGCGGCAGCGGCGCGCGCGGGCGGGGCGCGGCCGGCGGCAAAGCGCGCGACAAGCGACACTACCAGCGGGCACGCTGCGGTGCACGCTGCGCAATGCGCTGGCGGCGCGTCTTGCGCGCGCGCGGCATGTGGGCGGGCGTGGCGCGGTGGGACTGGGCCGTGGGCCTTTAGCCGGCTCTGCCGCGCCACCGATCAGTGCGTGTCACTGCCGCACCAAGATCGGTGGCGCGGCAGACCCTTCCACGTCACCGGTCAGCGTCTCGGTCGTCGCCACGTCATCCCTCTCGCCGCGCCACCATGTTTGGCGTGGCACAGGTTTTTCGCCACGCCAGGAAAATAGACGCAGATAAAAGTGTTAGTTTTGAGGAAGAAAAACAATGTTAGATTTAAAATTAGTTTAAAAAAGTGTTAAAAATAAAAAAAAATCTGCATGGTGCTGACCGCATCCAGATTCCTGACGACCGCTGCGGTTGGGGTTGTAAGTACGGCAGCATGCTTGAGCGGGTCAAAACTACTTCTTTCATTCTAAATTATAAATCGTTATAATGTTTGTTGATACAATTATTTTACTCTACATCTAGATAAAATAATATATCTGTATTCATGATGGATGAAAAAAAAAGTTCAAAGCAAACTTATGATTCGGAACTGGAGGAAGTAAAAAACTAGCTACGCTCGGTAGCCTCCTACGTAGCTTTGAACTGGTAAAATACGCGCACAAGCTTGACATGAACAGCCTGACTAGTCAAAGTCAGACGCCACACCTTGCGCTGACCTGCTCCTCTCTCTGGTAGTACTGCTATAAAGCAGCGGTCCTTTCATTCGCAGTGCAGACATCCAGCGACGCCAACGCATCGGCAGCTCCGGACCTCCAGTTCATCCACCAGCGCTAGCTAGGGAGAGATCGGATCGATCGTTACCGAGAACCCCCTGCACTCGATCCGAAGCCGATCACCGACGACCGCACAGCCATGGCGTTGTCGCCATCGTCTGCGCCAACTAGCCCGCTCCCGCGGCAGCTGCTGCGGTACGCGTCGTCCCAGCTCGTCGCCGCCCTCCGTCGCCCAGCTCCAATCATCAGTCTGCCGAGTGCGCCGCGGGGAGTGGATGCGGCTGCGGCGGCGTCCCCGCGGCTCCGGGCGGCGAGCAGGGCCGCACCCGCTCCTTCCCCGAAAGGGCGTCCCGGCGCGCCGAGGCAAGGCAGCGGCGGACAAGTCCACGCCGCTCCGGCGATGGCGACGATAGCGCGCGTGGTTACGCCTATGCGACGGCCCACGCCGCCTGGTCCCCCGGCGCTGGGCAGCGGCGGCAGAACGAACGCTGTGACGACGGCGGCAACCGCGGCCGCGCACGTGGTGAAGCGAGGACCTGCTCCACCAGGCCGCCCTGCGGAAGGCAGCGGCGGAAAAGTCCATGCCGGGTCGCCGGCGGCGACGGCGCGTGTGCTTATGCGAGGGCCCGCGCCGCCTGGTCCCCCGGCAGAAGGCGCCGGCGGCCGTGGTGGAATCATCCATGCTGTTGCTTCTTGATTCTTGAGTTGTACTATAGGAAAGAAGATTGAGGCGGCTGTTTTTTCTTTCATTTTTTTTGTACTAAACCTGGAGATCAGACTAAATTGTCTGATCCTGGTCTGAGTGTTTGGCAGTCAATCAAGCCGGAATTTTCAGTAACAGTTAATGTATTCATGTTGAGCATTTGGTTTAGTAATTTGTAAAAGCCATGCATAAGTGTCAAATTTCTCGTTCGAAATCTGCCCCATTAGTGAATCAATGTGGATGAAATGCAAAGTACATTGTGTTGTCCTACTTAGTATAAAAACTTATCCAGCAATAAGTAGCATGAAGAATAAATAAAGGAGAAGAGATAAAATGGAAAATAAGACCACCAGCATCGACATTTCAAATAGTTTTACCGACGTAGTAATAGCTATATAAGCTTCTATCGAGGGGAGATCAGGTATTAGACTATATGACCATGAAATATATATATAAGAAACTACTCTAATATCTAATGGTAGAGTTTCATGGTATGAAGAAAAATACATACCCCTCTTATATCTAAGAATCTTTCTAGAATATTACGCCCTTTAGTTTATATTGTAAATCGTTTTAGTTTTGTTCCAAATTAAACTTGTCTAACTTTGACCATTTTTTTAAAAAGTATATATTATCATCTACTCTCTCAGTTTCAAATTGTAAAACTTTTTTACTTTTTTTTAGAAATATTGTTTTTGCTAAGGTTAAGAGGATGAAAAAGCCTCTGTTCTTTTTTTCAGCCCCTCCTAAATTTTTTTCTGGCTTTGTTCGTGTATGTATATATGTGTACACGAAAGTTCAGTTTTCAGCCACACCGGTGGTACTGGTACAGTGGTACTGACCGGATCCTGACAACTACTACGGTTGGTGTTGTACGTACGTACGTAGGGTACGTACGACAGCACGCTTGAGCGGGTCAAAACTAAAAACTAGCTTTGAATGAAAAGGTAAAATACGCGCTTAACTAAGGTTGACTTGACTACGTACGTCTGTACGGGCAGACTGAGTCAAAGTCAGTCGCCGCACCATCCATCGGTTATTATAAAGCAGCGGTCCTTCTTCCATTCCCAGTGCAGACATCCAGCGACGCCAACGCATCGGCACCTCCGACACCGAGACGCACCTGTACTCGATCCGAAGCCGATCACCACCGACACCTAGTCGCACGGCCATGGCGTTGTCGCCGTCTGCGCCAACTAGCCCGCTCCCGCGGCAGCTGCTGCGCTACGTGTCCTCCGGCCTGGTCGCCGCCCTCCACCGCCCAGCTCCAACCATCAGTCTGCCGAGTGCGCCGCGGGGAGTGGATGCGGCGGCGTCCGAAGCCCAGCGGCTCCGGGCGGCAAGCAGAGCCGCTCCTTCCCCGAAAGGGCGGCCCGGCGGGCCGAGGCAAGGCAGCGGCGGGCATGTCCATGCCGTTCCGGCGATGGCGACGATAGGAGCGCGCGTGGTTACGCCTATGCGACGGCCCACGCCGCCTGGTACCCCGTCACAGGGCAGCGGCGGCAAAACGAACGCCGTGACGTCGGCGGCGACGACGCACGTGCTTATGCGCGGACCTGCTCCGCCAGGCCGCCCTGCGGAAGGCAGCGGTGGAAAAGTTTATGCCGTGTCGCCGGCGGCGACGGCGCGTGTGCTCATGGGAGGACCTGCTCGGCCAGGCCGCCCTGCGGAAGGCAGCGGCGGAAAAGTTCATGCCGTGTCGCCGGCGGCGACGGCGAGTGTGCTTATGCGAGGGCCCGCCCGGCCTGGTCCCCCGGCAGAAGGCGCCGGCGGCCGTGGTGGAATCATCCATGCCATTGCTTCTTGATTCTTGAGTTGTACTATACTAAAGATTAAGGCTGCTGTTTTTTCTTTCGTTTTTTGCATTGTATGGAAGTTCAGTCTAAATTGTCTGAACCTGAAGTGAATTGAACCAAAATTTTCAGTAATAGTTACTTCATACGTATATATCATGCATGCTGAGCATTTGGTTTTGTAACCTGTAAAAGCCATGCTTGAGTGTTCATCCTAAAATTTCCAAAATGGGCCATTGAAGTAATTAAGTATCACATGGCTCACATCCTTTTGCAATAATGAAGACTATCACCATAGTCTATAGATATCACTTAGGCCTTGTTTGGATGCATGTGTATTCACTCCGATTCGCATGTGTTGAAGTGGAATGAAATGGAACTTAGTTTAATTCCACTCCAATCCACTTCAACACATGTGAATTGAGATTATTACATACACATTCAAACAAGGCCTTAGCAAACTGACAGTTGATTGCCAAAAACAACGAGCTAGCTAGGAGGGCTTAGGTAATCACGATTTGAGAAGTTTAAACCTCATCCTCTTGGCTTCTTAGATCATTAGATACCACCAAAATATTAATGTTATATGAACTAGAATTATAAATTAAAATTATAATACCAAAAGCAGTTTCGTCAAAAGTGTTATGTGGGCTATTCAAGCTGCACATCTAAAAGGATCAAGATGCCCAAGAGGAAAGGTGAATTAGGCTAATTCTAAAATTCTTTACAATAGTTAAACCCTACACTTAGCCCACTTCACCCATTGTGCCTAAAATGTGTTCCTATTGTTCTACCGCACATAAGTTTTGCACCCTAGGTTCCAATCCTACTCTAGCATGGCAATTCTAAGAATGTAAAGACAAGAAATGAATTGCTCAAATGTAAATGTTTAAAGTAAAGAGAGCAGAAGGAACGCGGCGATGTTTTGCCGAGATATCGGAGAGTCGCCACTCCCCACTAGTCCTCGTTGGAGCACCCACGCAAGGGTGTAGCTCCCCCTTGATCCGCACAAGGATCAAGTGCTCTCTACGGGATGATTCTTCGACACTCCGTCATGGTGAATCGTCCATAACCGCTCACAACTTGAGTTGGGTCATCCACAAGCTCCGCCGGATGATCACCAAACTCTTAATCACCAATAAACCGTCTAGGTGATGGCGATCACCAAGAGTAACAAGCACGAACTCTTACTTGACCACAACAAGCCTAATGAGAAGGATGGATGCACACATGCTACTCTTCTTGCACTAATGAGGCCTTAATCTTGGATTCTCAAATCTCAATCACCTCACTAGGCTCTTAATCTCCTTTGCACTCTCAAGGGTGTTTCTCAGCTGAACAAATAGACCAGAGACCTCCCTTGGACAAGTGGAGTAAGTATTTATACCCCAAATTCAAAACATAACGTTTGGAGGTTGAGTCATCACTCTGCGGGGTGACCGAACACTCCGATCAGGGTGACCGGATGCTCCGGTCAGTTATCCCCGCCATTGTGTTAGAAAGAGCCGTTAAGTTCTGACCGGACTCTGACCTGCGTCCGGTCAGCACTGATCGAACACGTCCAGTCATGAAAAATGCTCTCTGGAACCTTACTGATGTTGACCGGACGTTGGCACCCAGAGTCCGGTCACTTCGCTGTTCAGCGTCCGGTTAGTTACCAGATCCTGACCAGCGTCCGGTCAGCACTGACCGAACACGTCCGATCGGGAATCTCCCTCTCTGGAACCTCTCTGGAGTTGACCGGACATAGGAACCCAGCGTCCGATCACATTTCACTCAGCATCTGGTCGCAACCAAATGGCTCTAGTTGATCAAATGAACTGACCGGACTCGCCCTTCAGCGTCCGATCACTACCAAACCAGCGTCCAATCAGTCATTTGACCCTCCTTTCACTTCCAACTCGAAATCATATGTGAATGAAGTTTGCTCCAATTGATCTTAGGGCCACTCCGGAGCTACCTAGTGTTAGATTTGACAAGTGTGCACCACACCTAACTCACTAGACTCACCTAGGTCAAGCTACTAGTCCATACCCCCCTTAATAGTATGGTCAAAGAAAAAATAAAGTCCTAAACTACTCTAAGTGTCTCTTCAACACCAAACGACACTTAGAACTAGTCCATCCTTAACCTCGTCATTCATCCTTTGAAAACCGAAACGATTTTCATCGTAGGGGCATGACAACCATGATTGGCCAATCAATTACCATTACCATGACCTAACTTAAATTGCCTCTGCAAAACACACGTTAGTGATAGTAATCTCATATTGTCATTAATCACCGAAACCCAACTAGGGGCCTAGATGCTTTCAATCTCCCTTTTTGGTGATTGATGACAATACAACCTCGAGTATGTAAAAGAGATGAGGTTTTCAACATGCTTGGTTCATATAAGCTTTTGACAATAAGAGCAAAGGAGTTAGACATGCTTATATGACCCAAGCCAACATGGTGTACTCAATAGATATGAAATAAGCATGAGTACAAGAAATAAAGCTCATTTGAATTGGAGTAAAACACGGAAGCAAGGGAAATGAGCATAACCAAGTGACATGACATATATATAAATCAAAGTAGAGAGCACACATGTCACATAAGTATCACAATCACACGTATGTAGTTCAATGCATGAAAGTAAACGTGAATGCATAATGTATCACACATAAAGAGCCAAAAGAAATAAATCATATGCTCCCCTAGATGTAACGCTCCCCCTAGATCTAACATACTCAATCCCTCTCCCCCTTTGGCGTCAAGCACCAAAACCTAAGGGTCGGACGGTGGGGCAGGAGCAGACGAGTCGGGCGTTAAGGTGCGGTGAGAAATCTAGAACTGTGCAGCAGCATCCTTTGACCCTGAGCTCTGAGCGGTCTGACCCTCTATCACTGGAAGTGAAGCTAAAGCGGTCTGGGTCTGCTCTGGGACTGGCGTGGCCTATGACTCTAGAGGTATCACTATAGTCGGTGGCTCTAATGATGCAACAGATGATGGGAGCGTCTCAGTAGTCCTAGTAACGGGAACAACTATGGTAGGAGCAGGAACTCGTAGCTCTGGCGGTGTAGGCTGCCCTATAAGCTCACTGAAAGTACACCGAGGCTCCTAAAAACTAGGGTGTCAGTCACAAGCACCGAGGAACTCTGAGGCGGAGTGAATCCCGTAACAATAGGTGTGAAGTGAGGACCCTAGGCTATCACTGGGGAAGCAAACCACTGGGACACCTGCTCTGTAGGTGAAGCAAACTAAGTAGCTGGCTGTCCCTGACTCTGAAGCCCACTGGGTTGTACAGCTGGAGTCACCGAAGTGGTGGAAGGCTGGGCGATCTGAGGTGTAGACTATGGCGGAGCAACCCCAATAGCAGTGACGACATGCTGCATAAAACCAAGTAACTATTGCTGGATCAGGAGCTGCTGCTGCATGGCCTGCTGCTGCTATCTCTAGAACTCATCCTGTCTAGCCTGAACCTGTGCTAGTGCAGCTACGGTCTCCTAGGCCTAGCGTGCCTGATCCTGCCTCATCTGCTCAAGAATTGCTAGAAGAGCGGAGTCTGTCTGTGGTGACTGTGAAGTTGAGCTGGAGCCACTGGCCTCTCTGTCATGTGGTCGAGAAGGCATCTGAGGAATAGCCTGATAATCATTATCAGAACTATCACTAGGTTCACTCTCGACCACACCCTCCTGCTGAGCATCTAGCTGCTCCTCCTCTATCGCTGCAATGCCCCTAATGATCTCATCCTGCTAGGCTGTTGTCTCTGGGACCTTTAGGCGATGACTCGGCTGGCGAGGTGTCCTCACACTACTGTGGCGGAGCATCTGAGTAGTGTTATAGGGAGGGAACTCTGTAGTAGCACCTGTGTACTCAGCCATTGTCTCTGGAGACTTCTATGTAACTGCCTTTCTAATCAAGAAGGTAATCTAGTGAGCGTAAGGCAATTGTCTGTGACCTCTGAACCCCTCTACAAGAGTGTCCTCCATCTCTGAAAGAATAACATCCCAAATATCAAATACTATCTGCTGCACCAGAGAGTTCACCAACCATAACAGAATGCGAGTCAATCCCTCATGGTAACCCATCCTCGGAAGCAGAGTCCTCCTCAAGATAGCATCAAAAAGCTGAGCTATAGGAGTAAGGTCTCGTGGTGTCATGCTTGACCCCTCACTGAATGGCTCTATGAAGCATGGTCTGACAAGGTCTATGGGTATCACAAGCCCACCGTGAGGGCATCTAGGAGGCTCTGTCTGACCATAGGAAACCTTGTGAAGGCAAATGGGTGACTCTAGAATCCTAAGGATCTCTCTGACCCTCGAGCTCTGTAGCCTGTAGTCATGGCCTTTGAATGCAAAGTGGATGAATCTGTGCCTCGTGTCAATCCAAAGTGAAGAGTAGAACTCACAGACCCATGATGGAACATATCAGCTAGTCCATCCAAGTAGATCTATCAACCCTGGCAGATATGAGAGGTGAGGGCGGATCTGCTCGCCTACTGCTGCTACAAGTGACTCAATAGAGCAAACTCTCTGTGATCTAAAAATAACTCCACTGTTCAGATAAGCATTGTAGAAGTTCTCCTATAGTGGTGTATAGAAGTGCTCTGAAGCACGCTCATCCCGCCTCGGCAGAAACCAGTCCTCGAACTACACAAAACGGAGCTGTTGCACCTGCTTGGCTGTGGTCGCCCTCAGGTCAAGGTGAGACACCGGAGGTGGACCCTATGGTCTGAGAGGCGGACGAGAACCCCTCCTCTGTGTCTTAGACCTCGGCGACACCTAAGTATGAGTACGACCAGAGTGTCATAGCTATGGCTGAGGTTCCTACTCTATCTCCTCAGTCTACTCTACCTACTAAGTATCCACTAACTGCTCTGCTGGCTATGTGTGCTGCTCTGGCTCCCCCTGACGTGGACTCTCCTCTAAACTGACACACCGTCCTCCAAGCATGACAGTCTCAGCTGGACAACCATGAAGACTCTCAACCCTCTTGACGACGGCCCTCTGAGTTAGTGATAGCTGGTGTGC